CATCCCATATGGTCCCCTGAGCACCGCCAGGAGCAATTCCTGAGTGCATGAGCCAGGAGTAACCCCTGAGCATCGCCGGGTGTAACCCAAAAAGCAAAACAAAAAACAAAAAACAAAAAAACAAACATTTATGTGAACAAAATTAATGTTCTCTAAAATGTACCCCATTAACAATTTGTCACAGATGCCCAGACAGCTCCTTCATTCTGTAAGCAGTTGCTTCTACTAGTACTAAATTCTACACACGCACATACACACACACACAGAGCAAGTGTATGAAACTTGAGAGATAGTAAAATGGGTAAGATCCTTTGCCTTGCTTGCAGCTGACCTGGGTTCTATCTCTGATAGAACCCCAAGGCCACCAGTAAGCTCCGAGCACCTCCAGGTGTGGCCCTCAAACAAACAGACAAGCAAAAAACAAACCAAAGCATATGTGTGAAGCTTAGTGACTATGTAACTGAATATCAATTTCCCCCAACAGCATAGGCAACTAGTAAACAAAACTGAAAATCAAAATCAATGAAAATAAAGCACATGTTATTAGCAAGAAATTGATAACGCACAATTACAAGCAAGAAAAGTTCTAACAGAGCCTGGTAGTGAAGAATGGGGTCCTCATTCTCCAAACGGTCTTCAGTGATGATGATAACAGTAATTAACGTATACGATGTGTCAAACTATCCTCAGCTACTTATTTATTTAGGTTTGGGGCCACACCTGGCAGTGCTGGGGGGAGGGGGGAGTGTGAGGCTCTTGCCCAGTGCTTGGGGCTTGTTCCTGGTAGTGCTCAAGGGACCATGCAGTACTGGGCAGAAGTTCCTGCCTGTAACCATGCACTCAGGCTGTTGAGTTCTGTCTCACTGGTCCTCAGAGCATTTTAAAAAAGCTCATAGTTTTTGTATGATCTGACGCCACTAATTTGATTCTTGGCATTGCTGCTATGATCTCTGTGGTCACAAATGCAGCCCCAGTGACACTATAACCATGTGAGCAATTTCTGGACATGACCACAATGAAGGACCACATATAGAGATGGCCAATATAATGCCCTATAACTGTAGGCACCCCACCCAAAAATCTTTTTATCATATTTTAAATAGAAAAAATTGCCGCCACTATTTCTTTCATGCCTCACCCCACCTGTAGGTAAATACAGAATCTGTCACTGTCACTGTCCTCCCATTGTTCATTGATTTGCTCGAGCAGGCCCAGTAACGTCTCCATTGTGACACTGGTGACTGTGTTTGGCATATCAAATACGTCAGGGGTAGCTTGACAGGCTTTGCCGTGAGGGCAAGATACTATCCGTAGCTTGCCGAATATAGAACAAAATAAGGAAAAATGAGTATAATGAGATAGCTACTTCAAAACAGAAGGAAAAGGGTGTAAAAGTACATACACTGAACCCAAATATCAAATAGGGATTGTTTGTATAGCAATGCTATGAGTTAATACATTTTTCTTTTTTCGATTAACTTTATTGAGGACTAGTTTACATACAGTAAACTGTACACATTTCAGGGCTGGGGAGGCTGCTTAACAGTAGAATGCCTGCCTTGCATGTGTGACGTCATGCATTGGACCCCTGGTCCTGCATGGCGCCCAGCACCATCAGGCAGTGCGTGGGGGGTGTGGGGGGAGAGCATGTTTGTCAATGGTTTATTTCAGTGGATTGATTAATATATAAACTTATTCACCCCAAAACCCAGCTCCCGGAAGCGCGTGGCCACATTTGCAGCCGGGTGACATCTTATTATCCCATTCTTACTTTGGACAAACTGGCAGGCTACTGAATGTAGCCCGCCCACACGGCAGAGTCTGGCAAACTCTCCGTGGCGTACCCAATATGCCAAATACCAGTAACAATGATGGGTCTCATTCTCCTAACCCCGAAAGAGCCTTGAATATGTCATTTTTTAAAAAATCTCAGGGCTAGGACGAAGGAGACCTTACTGGCCTGCTCGAGGCAATCGACGAACAATAGGATGGTCGTGATCGTGACCCCAATCAAGATATAGAATTTTTCCATCATTCCCAAACTGGAGTGATAGCACAGTGGGTAGGGCGTTTGCCTTGCTCACGCCCGACCCAGGTTCGATTCCTCTGTCCCTCTCGGAAGAGCCTGGCAAGCTACTGAGAGCATCTTGCCTACACCGCAGAGCCTGGCAAGCTCCCTGCAGCGTAATGGATATGCCAAAAACAGTAACAATAAGTCTCACAATGGAGACGTTACTGGTGCCTGCTCAAGAAAATTGATGAACAATGGGAGGACAGTGTTACAGTGCTCCCAAACTACTCTTACAGTTCGTTTCTTCTGCTGGCGGTTTCCAAGTAGCCATCAACTTTTTGTTACTCTAAGGTAAAGGTAAAGGCCCTCCCATTGATCGTCGATTTGCTTGAGCGGGCCCAGTAACGTCTCCATTGGAGACTTTGTTGTTAACTGTGTCTGGCATATCGAATACTCTCGGTAGCTTGCCGGGCTCTCCGAGAGGGGCGGAGGAATCAAACTCGGGTCGGCCATGTTGGCTGCGTGCAAGGCAAACGCCCTACCGCTGTGCTATCGCTCCAGCCCTTTGTTCCTCTAGTTTTGCTTATTTTAAAACGTCCACGTCATGAAACCATTAATTAATAGGATGGTTTCTATCTATATTTCTCAGTGGTGTTGGCGATTGACCCAGGGCTGGGTGTGTGCAAAGCAAACGCCTTCACCCCTGTACTATTGCTCTAGCCCCTATAACTACCCTACGTGACCACTTGAAACATTCAGGGGAGGCTTCCTGTGCTCAGTATGTCTTAAAAAAATTTAAACCACATTCGATTTGCTCGAGCGGGCCCAGTAACGTCTCCATTGTGAGACTTTGTTGTTACTGTGTTTGGCATATCAAATATGTCACGGGTAGCTTGCCGGGCTCTCCGAGAGAGGCGGAGGAATCGAACCTGGGCCGACCAGGTCTGCCACGTGCAAGGCTAACGCCCTACCCGCTGTGCTATCACTCCAGCATTGTTTAGTGTATTAGTATCTTTTCATTACTGAATTCTACAGCATGGATTCTATAGTACTTTTCTATTATTCTACTGTTTATGGATACGTACTGCAATCTGCTTGCCAGTCACTTATTGATCCTTGACTGGAAATTTTCCGTTTTCATTATTATGAATAATACAGTTCTAAACATTGTGTATATTAAGGTAACATCTGTTTAACTTTAAAATAAACTTGCCAATTTCCCAGAGTAGTTTTACATTAGCTCTTGTACTAGAAAGTTATTAAAGTTCTAGTTGTTTTTGCCAACATTTGGTATCTTTACCAATGTCAAGTGGTCCATTGTGGCTTAATCAGCAATTTTTCCCTGCCAATAATATTCACCTTTTGAGTTAAAATTAGATGCAGTCTAATTTTAAATCTTATTTTTAAGTGTATATAATTGGAGAATATGTATTTCATTAGCAACATAATAGTTTCTAAGGAGTGTCTTTGTTATGCCATTGGTTTCTATATTTCCATACTAGATTATTTCACAGAAGAAATTACTTTACAAAAGATTACAGAAATCTAAGAGTACATGCCGTAAAGATAGGTTTATGGAACCAAGTGACAGTATTTATACTGAAGAGTCAATAAGACGACAGGTCCCAGCTGGGAGATGGAGTCATATTACTACTGCCACCATCAGGCAATTTTTTTGTTTTGTTTTGTTTGGGGGCCATATCTGATAATGCTCAGGGCTTACTCCTAGCTCTGTGCTGAAGGATCAGTCCTGGCAGCCTGGGGGAGAGGGGCGGTGTGGTTACCATATGGCATGCCGGGGACAGAACCCGGGTGGGTCGCCTGCAACGTCCTATCCATTGTACTACCCACACCATCTGGCAATTTTAAACACAAAAAGAAATCTCCAGGAAAACTCCACGTTGCTATTTTAACTGCTCCTCGCGGTAAGTCTTTGAAATGGCTTGGAAGGCACGCAAAGCTTAGCTGTTCTCAGTCTTAACCACCTTGAGTGAAACTGTTCTCAGTCTTAACCACCTTTAGGGAAGCCAAGGTCACAAAGTATCCAAGAGCAAAATCGTTTCAATTGCCTCAGGGTCAGAGCAGCAACACTGTAAACACCACCCCCACCTCGAACAGCTGCAAGACTTTTTTTTTTTTTTTGCTTTTTGGGTCACACCCGGCAATGCACAGGGGTTCCTCCTGGCTCTGCGCTCAGAATTACCCCTGGCTGTGCTCAGGAGACCACCATATGGGATACTGGGACTCGAACCCGGGTTCGCCGCGTGCAAAGCAAACGCCCTACCCGCTGTGCTATTGCTCCAGTCCCGACTTCTTTTTTTTTTTTTTTAAACTCTCCGGGTAGGAAAAGTCCACCTGAACCCGTAACTTGAAGGATACGCAACCCCTTGCGGGAGAGAAAAGTGCAGAAGCCGCACTTGTGTTGTCTGTCTGTCTGTCTCTCTCTCTCTCTCTCTTTTTTTTTTTTTTGGCTTCTTGGGTCACACCTGCCGATGCTCAGGGGTTCCTCCTGGCTCTGCACTCAGGAATCACTCCTGGCTGTGCTAGGGGGACTTGAGGGGGGGGGTGTGTGTACCATATGGGATGCCTAGGATCGAACCCAGGAGGGCGCCCCGCTGGACTAGCGCTCCGACCCCGGATTCACTCGCGGTCTCTTCTGAGCAAAGTCAAGACCGTCGCCGGGCGGCTGTGCCTCGACCGACATCCCCTCCGGAATGTCACGGCGGTCTTAAGCTCTGTCCTTCCCAGTCTCCCGGACCCCAGGAGCCCCCAGACTGTCCCACGCCCGCGAGGCCTCCGCGCGCTCCGTTTTCCCACGTCTCCCCCACCCGGGGCGCGAGTCCGGTTCCCGGGCCGGCGCGAGGGGCGCTGACCCAGCGGGTCCTCCTGCAGCTGCAGCTGCTGCTGCTGCTGCTGCTGCTGCCCCCTCGCGCCTCGGCCGCTCCCGCTGCCCCGCGCACCCGCCGCCCGCTCCAGCCCCGCCGCTCACCGGCTTTCGGCCGCGACGCGCCCCGCAGCAGGGGCGTGCTGTCCGAGCCGTCCTCGCCATCACTCGGGGACGGGTCCCGAACCGGGGACCTCATGCCGTCTCCGAGGAGCAGGGGTGCAAAAGCGCTCCCGCCGGCTCCACCGCTGCAGCCCCAGCGCGGCGCTAACTGGGCGGGGCTGGCTGCGGCCGGAGTTCTAACCCGGGACCCGGCCCCGCCCTGCGGCCGGCCGCCATCTTAAGTCCGGGCAGACGGCTTCGGAGGGGGGCGTGGCTTAGGCCCTGGAAGGCGGAATTCTGGGAGTGTTGCCTGCTGGGGGGCGTGGTCGGCGGTGGAGTGACGCCTCTCCACGCATGCTCGGCTGGCCAGGGGGCGGAGACTTCCCGCGCGGGCACGCCCTCGGGAGGGGGCAGGAGCCCTTCTCTCTGCACACCGGGAGTGTTGGGGTCCGGGTCTAGAGGCGGGCGGTGGGGACGTGAGTCATGCATGCCTAAGGGACGGGCTTTGTACGTTTGCTACTCTAGTTAATCAGTAATAAGTTGCCATAAAGGTTTATTAGCACCCCGGACCTATTAGGCACGAGGACTTACTGTCTATAACTGTACCTCGTGGTGTTTCACTAATAAAAAAATACATAAATAAATAATAATAATAAAAAAAGAAGGTTGCCAATCTCTTGTGGTAAGGTATTCATCGAGAGATTAGGTATAATAATTATAATAAAAATAGCACTTTTCACTTGTACAGCAAAAAATAAATAATAAACGTAGGCAGAAGAAAAACAGTAAATGGAAACATATTTACGTTGCGTCCTATGAAACTGTCCATTTCCCAGGCCCAGATTGCTCCACATCAACACTGACATTCGCTTTAACCAAAGAATCCTCTGTTGTAATTGTGCTATGTCGTCGCAGGAGTCATAGAAATCGTTTCTTCTGGCATTTGCTGGCATGGAGAAAGAGGGTCAGTCTGCATTGGGGAGAATGTGTGTGTGTGTGTGTGTGTGTGTGTGTGTGTGTGTGTGTGTGTGTGTGAGTAATAGTTCCTTTTTATCACATTGCATACTTCTTTTTAGAGTCAACTTCACATCCTAACTCTAGGGGAATAATTTCTTTTCGGCGCTTTACCGGACTCTCTCTCCTCTCTCTTTTCCATCCCTTGTACATTTGAAATAAAACTATGTTCCTTCACTATCTTCTCCAGAAAGTATTTTCTTTGACATAAAGACTAGAGTTGGTGGAGACTGACTTCCTTCTTTTCCTTTTTTGCTTTTGAGCCCCACCCAGTGGTGCTTGAGGGTGCTATGGAATTGTTTCTTGGGATACTTGGGGCTCGTGCAGTGCCCAGGATCAAACTCAGGACTCTCGCAAGCAAAACATACCCTCTAGCCTTCAGACCTGTCTTCTTGGCTCTTGGAACTGACTGCTACCAGTCTTGATCTCTCTGGGCATGTACACCCACACAGGATGTATGAGGAAAGTGCCAACCACTTGAAACCTTTCTAACCAAGAAGGCCCTATTCTTTCTTACACTATCTTCTCCTTTTCTCCCTCTCCTCCTCCTCCTCCTCCTCCTCCTCCTCCTCCTCCTTCTGTATTTATAGCTGGTTGTATGCTCTGTGACCACTCCTGGCAGGCATGGGGGATGCTTTGTGGTGCTGGGGGTTGAATATGTGCCAGGCAAGCACCTTACCCACTGTACGTGTTTTCTGTAGCCATCTCTCTCTTTCTTTGGTTTGTTATTATTATTTTTGGCCACAATTGTCAATGCTCAGGGCTTACTCCTGGCTCTGTGCTCAGGGATCACAACTGGTGGGGCTCAGGAGACCACACTGGTTGCCGGAACCTGAGTTAGCCACATTCAAGAACACTACTCTCTATACCATCTCTAGAGCCTGCTGACTCCAGGTTTCTTTAGTATTTTGTTTTCTTTCATTTGGGCCACTCTTGATGGAGCTGGATGCCTACTTGTAACTCAGTGCTCAGAGGTCGCCCCTGGTGGTGCTCAGAGGACCCTGAGGGGCCAGGGCTTCAACCCAGGTTTCCTGCATACAAAGCATGTACTCAGCCCTTTGAGCTGCTTCTCAAGCCAAAATTCGGATTTTCCATGAATCTATGAACAACGGGAGGACAGTGCTACAGTGCTATAGTGTATTATAATCAGACTGTCACTCTGGTTGTGGGGATACAGAGCACAAAGGTTAAGTGCTACTCTCGTAAGTCCAAAAGGATATGTTGTCCACAATGACATAAATACTGATGATTATCACTGGGGAGCTTTAGCGTCCTCACATGCTTGAGACAGTGCTCACTGCGTCTTCCCTTCCCTTTCCATATGCCTTTACCTGGAAGCCAGGACATGCCCCTCTGCTGAATGGGTCGGGAACCCTGGCTCATCTTCCCGAACAATGCAGTTATTTCATATGGGAGATTATCTATCTTCCCAATTTAGCTGTCATAGTATCAGCCAGTAATTAGTATTAGCATGGTCTGAGAGTTGTTTATTTTGTGCTTTGTATCTTAACCCTGTGCTATTGTGATGGGTAAGGTAAGGATATGTATGTGTGTGTGTGTGTGTGTGTGTGTGTGTGTGTTGGGGGGGCAATCAGGACACTAGAAAGAAGTCAGCCCAGTCACCATCTGGTTCATGTGCTTGTGGCTGAAGAGGCTCTTCAGAGAGGCCAGAGATACTATGAAGTCATGGTCACGGTCCTCCTGTTGTTCATCGATTTGCTCGAGCGGGCCCAGTAACGTCTCCATCATGAGACTTGTTGTTACTGTGTTTGGCATATCGAGTACGTCATGGGTAGCTTGCCAGGCTCTAAATTGTTTTATTTAGGAAATAGAATCGAGGACAGCCTCATCAGGCAAAAGAAAGGAATTACTCACCCCAAGTTGAGATATGAATATACCAGAGTGGGACTTGCTTTTTTTTTGGGGGGGGGGCTTTTGTGTCACACCTGGTATTGCACAGGGGTTACTCCTGGCTCATGCACTAAGGAATTACTCCTGGTGGTGCTCAGGGGACCATATAGGATGCTGGGAATCAAACCCAGGTCTGCCGTGTGCAAGGCAAATGCCCTTCCCACTGTGCTATCGCTCCAGCCCCAGGACTTGCTTTTTTGCAAAACTGAATTTATGGCCTTTTTTAGGCTGCCTCAGCCTGCACAGGTCTTTCTGAAGAATGTCACTAGACCATTGTTACAGGAAGAGACTGTCAGGTCTAGAGGACTCCAAGATGTTCATGATTAGCAGGGCCTTGGCCTCCAGAAAATTCCCCTGAGGAGTGTAGCCTTTGGGTGTGTGCTGGCTTCTTCGATTAGGGACTGGGGGCTCATGACAACAAACAAGATGTTTAGATGCTTCTTGGTTTGTGTCTTTCTGAGAGCCATTGCCAAAGGGCCTGTTACCTGCTGGACAGCTAGGCTATGTTGTTTTGTTGCTCAAATTGTTTCAGGATTGGTGACTAGGGATCCTTTGCACTTGGCTTCTGTGCCTCTATGGCATGCACCCGTTGTTGTATTTCTTGGGTATTACCTTGTTTTTGTGTATAGAATGTTTCAGGCACATCTTATCTAGTTTCTGCTTCTACCTTTTCTTCAAGGAGAATGATAATTAGAAACAGAGGGGGACACCGTGTGGCTTGTTCTGTTGGACGGCACAGCTCCTAACCAGATGAGCTTACTGTCCACCAAAAACCGGTCTTTGGATGGAAAAGGAATATTCCTTGGGCAGAGTACCTCGTCTGGGAAACTCGTGATTTTCCTCTTATACAAAGAACATAACCACTCAAACAAACCCACAAGTTGACATCAGGATTGAATAAGAGAACGTGCACCAATTCAGTATATCATCATCAGAAGCACTGTAGCACTGTCCTTCCATTGTTCGTTCATTTGCTCAAGTGGGCACCAGTAACATCTCCATTGTGAGACTTGTTGTTACTGTTTTTGGCATCTAGAATACTCCACGGAGAGCTTGCCAGGCTGTTAACTATTGTTTTTATTGTTACGTTTCCTCGACAACATGATCTTATTTCTCTTAGGAGTCTCATTTTGATTTTCATTATACCTCTTTCAAAATACATGTGACTCTCTGTCTGCAATCTGGTAGTTTGTAGTTGGTTGTGTGACTGTCTTATTTGCTTTTATGACCCTACGTTATCTAGGAACTAGGATCAAATCTGTTTTATCTTTGCTCGCTAAGCAATTCCTAACATTTCACAGTATCTTATCATGTTCTCCTTGGTGGTACTACTGAGATGAGAATGTTAAGTAGATAGGAATATTCAGGCAGTGAAAATTTGAATGGAGACAGAAATATTTATTACTTAATTTAGAAATAGTCAAACTAAGAGTTGGAGAGATCGCTTCATGGGGTGAACTCATGCTTTACTGGAATCCCAGGACTGATGCTGACTACATGGTCTGCTGGCACCATATGACAGAGCAGAGCCAGAATTAGCCCCTGAGATCTGACAGGGATGGCCCCCAAACAAAAACAATGAGTAAAACTGGTAAAAAAAAATGTTTAGAGGAGCCATCTGATCCTAAAAAGAAAAAAAATCAACTTTTCCAAGCCAGGGATGTATCTATTGGTAGAGCACTTGCCCTGTGTGTGTGAGGCTCTCAGTTTGAGCACCAACACTGAGAAAAAAAAAAGAAAAGAAAAAAATCAACTAAAACCCACCAAGTAAACAAACAAAATCCTTGTACCAGAACTTTTCTCTAAAATTATTGTAATTATAATTATTAGTAAATATAGTGGTTATTAAAATACATTATTTAGTGTTTTTGTCAATCTCAATAATTACAGTGTTGATTCCTATTTTTATTTTTTTATTTTTTTTGCTTTTTTTGGTCACACCCAGCAATGCTCAGGAGTTACTCCTGGCTCATGCACTCAGGAATTACTCCTGGCAGTGCTTGGGGGACCATATGGGATGCCGGGGATTGAACCTGGGTCGACCCTGTGCAAGGCAAACGCCCTACCTGCTGTACTACCACTCCAGTCCCTGATTTCTATTTTTAAAATGAATTTTTGATTTTTTTTGGGGGTCCATACCAGGTGGTGCTTGGGGGACCATGCAGTGCTGAGGATCAAACCCTGTGCTCCTGCATATGAAGAATGTACTCAGCCTACTTTTTTTCTTTTTTTCTTTTTGGGTCACACCCAGCGATGCACAGAG